GAATACATATTAGATTATAATTTACTACTTTAAGTTTAATAGTTAACAAGACTGTAAGCTATGTTCTCATTATAAGCAACTACTTGCACCACGTTACAAACGCCTCTCTTTGGAAAACTTGTTATTTTACAAACTTTACTTGTTAATAATACACTCACTAATACACTAATACCAATATAAGTATCCGTACATATACATTTGTGTACTTAAAGGAAAGTGACAAGATAATCGTTAGTATATTATTCATTTTTAAAACATTCACTAGTATTATAGTAAAAATAGATGCGCGCTGATAATTCTTTATGTCAAATATCATTTTTTTTCTATATGAAGAGAGTAAAATTGAAAACAATCACATTAAAAATCATTTATAAGACATTTGCCTTCCTAGGAAAGATAGAAAACCTCGTGTCATTAATTCGGAGAGGAATTAAATTCCTTCTTCGATTCGTATTCTCGAAAAACTCGTATTTTTGTTGCGAAAAAAATTTTTCAAAAATAAAATCAAAAATTCATTCTTTGTGAGAACTGTTCTTGTAAATTGTAAAGTTTGCTCTGCACTAAAAAGAAGATATTATTGACTCAGAAACAACTACGTTACTTTTTTGGTTCAAGAAAATATTATTTGGCTCAAATAAGTATTATTTGGTTCGAATGAACATTTCTTTGGTACATACAAATATTATTTAGATGAAATAAATATTATTTGGTTTAAACAAAGATTATTTAGTTCAAATAAGATTATTTGGTAAAAATAAATTTTATTTGGTTCAAACGAACATTATTTTTGGTTTATACAAATATTATTTAGATGAAATAAATATTATTTGGTTTAATTGAACATTATTTGGTTCACACAAATAATATTTGGATCAAATAAATTTTATTTGGTTCGAATGAACATTATTTTTGGTTCATACAAATATTATTTAAATGAAATACGTATTATTTGGAACAAATAAATTTTATTTGGTTCAATTGAACATTATTTGGTTCACACAAATAATATTTGGATCAAATAAATTTTATTTGGTTCGAATAAAGATTATTTTTGGTTCATACAAATATTATTTGGAAGAATATATTTTCGGTTCTGAGAAACATTATTTGGTTCAAAATTCAAATAAATTTTATTCGGTTCTGAGAACATTTATATGGTTCAAAAAAATGTTCTTTGATTCTGAGAAACATTATTTGGTTCATACAAATATTATTTGGCTTCAAAAAATATTATTTGGTTCAAATCAATTTTATTTCGTTCTGAGAAACATTATTATTGGGTTAAAATGAACATGATTTGGTTTAAATAAATTTTATTCAGTTCTAAGAAACATTATTTTGTTCAAATGAACATTATTTGTTTCAAATATATTTTACTTGGTTCTGAGAAACATTATTTGGTTAAAATAATTTATATTAGGATTCTGAGAAACATTATTTGGTTAAAATAAATTTTGTTTGGTTCAAATATTAATTTTATTCACAGTAAATACAATTTTTATTCAAAACAAATAAATAATTTAATAGGTTCAGTAACAAATATTTATCTAAACCAATAATTTCAGTATTTGAAGCAAATACTGTATATAATTTGAAGCAAATATCGACTCTCGATATAAATTGTATCTCGAGGAAAATAACAAAAGTAATCGAATTTTCTATTTATTGAATTCTTTTAGTATCAAAATCGTTTATTTGGACCAAATAAATTTTTTCATTGCAAGGAAAATTTACCCTAAATCCTAAATCCATCTCAAAAAAATTATTATTATAATAATGAACACCTTTATAAAAAAGAGGTTTGTTCATTAATAATAAACACCTTAAGAAAGACGTTTATTAATTAATAATAAACACCTTAAGAAAAGCGTTTATTAATTAATAATAAACACCTCGTAAACATCTAATTTATAAACATTAAGCTTTCATTTGTCAGAAGAAAATATTTTTCTCCAAATCTCTATAATAGAAAGTTAATATTTTAACATAAGATTTGAAATAATAAATTTCTCTTGTAAAAATAAATATATATAAGAAGGTAATTTTGAGCGCTGAAAGGAATGCATTTCCGTTGTCGTGAACATGCTACATTGCATATTTGAATCATTTTCGTATCATCGTACTGCAGCCATTAACCCAATTACGACATACAACTATTGCACGCTTGTACAAATGATTGCGTTAAACACTGAATTCTTTGTCGGCGCCAATTATTACATATCATCAAGACATAGATTATACCAGTCAGAAAATAATACGGTCAGAAAATTTAGCGTCTGCGTGATGTTATATTTCGACGGAATACGCGCGCATTTTTCCCGCGTCATGTGTTTTTGAGGATCTCGAGTGTAGATTAAATTCTACAGCTTATTTTCCACCCATTAATTACTATTGCTTGCCAACGATTTTACATATTAATTCTATTTAGTATGAGAAAATTTTATCTCGTACCATTTTTTTTTGAATTTTCAAAAAATTAAAAACTCAAAAATAAATTCAATAATTTAAATATTAACAAGGTTACCACAAAAAAATTTTTTTTTCCTGACTTTTTCCTGATTTCCAGACAAAATTTTGTCTTTTTCCCTGACTCTAAAGAATATTCTGATTCATTCTCAAAATAATATTGTAAAATTATTCGAAAACATGAATACCTATAGCTTTATTGTTACTGCAACTTTCTTCAAAATTATTCTCATAATTTCAATTCGATTATTATTTTCTAGAATTTTTAACTAAAAGACTTCTTTAAATTAATTATTTTTAATAATTTTTGAAAAAGTTCTTTGAGAATTTTCGGGAATAATTTTGTTATTTATCGAAATAATTGAATTCTTTCGAAGAATTATTTATGTAAATAATTGAATTCTTGGGAAGAATTTTATTATTTAAATGAATAATTGAATTATTTCAAAAAAATGTAATTAAAATTGTATTTAAAATAATTGATTTTTTTCGAACAATTTTATTAAAATTTATTAAAAAATTTTATTAAAATATTTGAAAATAATTAAATTCCTGTGTAAAATTATAATATTTGTGTAAATAATTGAATTCTTACAAAGAATTAAAAAAAAAATTTTGTTTTAATTAATTAATTTTTTCAAAGAATTGAAATTAAATTTTTAAGAATAATTACATTTTTCGAGCAATACCTGTAAAATTGTATTAAAAATAATTGAAATCCTGCCATGAAATTTATTGTTTATAAAAAAATTGAATAGTTGCTAAGAATTTTATTAAAATTTTCAAAAATAATTGAATTTCTCAGAAGAATTTTATGATTTATGAAAATAATCAAATTATTGTAAAAAATTGTATTAAAATGTTTAAAAAGAATTGAATTTCTGTGAAAAATTTTGTTATTTGTGAAAGTAATTAAATTCCTAAGAAGAATTTTATTATTTTTGAACAATATTTAATTTTTTCGAAGAATATTATTACTCTTGAAAATAATTAATTTTCTGCAATAATTTGGAACTTTTCCAAAATTAAATTTTTGTTCGTTTTTTTAACTCAAATTCTTCTATAAATGCATTATTTTTATTAATTTTTGAAAAAGTTCTTTGAGAACTTTTAAATTCATTTGTTTACAATTCAATTTTACAAAATTTTCGATTATTCAAAAATTTTTAAATTAAATATATATTAGAAAATAAAAACTTCAAATAATTTTTAAAAAATCCAAAAAAACTTTCTCAAAAAAATTAATTCCACAGAATTGTTATAGTTGAAAATATGAAAAATTTAGATTTTCAAAGATTTTAATTTGAAAATTTTTCAAAATTCAATTATTTCTAAAAATTCACGCTCTAATGCTTTTAATATTTAATTATAATCTAATTTTAACTAAAATTCATTTTTAAATAATTTTTTTTCAGAAAATTCTTCGAGAATTCAATTATTTAATTACAAAAATAAATAATTTATTGAATAATTGAATGTTTCTCAAAATTTAATTCTTATACAGAATTTTTATCAACAAATAAATAAATGTTTTTTTCGATGATTTTTAATAAAATTATTAAGAATAATTACATTTTTCGAGGAATTTCTAATTAAATTCATTGACAAATTTTAAAGATGCGATCTATTTATGAAAATTGGAAATGTGACTCATGTAAAATTGAATTAATTGTGAAATATTTTAGTAAAATTATTCATTAAATTATTTGTAAGTAATAATTATTAAGATTATTATTAATTAAGAACAATCGTTCTTCAAGAATTGAGTTAACAAGAAATTATTGTCAGAAATAGAATTAATTAATTAAAATTAATTGAAGACGATTAAATCCTCTATTTATTTATAAGCCATACAATTTTTTTGTTTAAAAAATTACTATAATTAGAGAAATTTAAACTTATTTAGTTTTAATTTAATTAAATTTAATTTTCATTAAAAAAATTAATAAAAATAAATCTAAATACGTTTAGAGGTTTGTTTAAAAAATTCTTTCTAGTTACAGCGATTTTTTTCATATAATATTCTCTCTTAATTTGAATTAGTAAAAATGTTTACTAATTTGAATTAGTTACTGACTTTTTGTTTTTCAAAAATTGGTAAATTTTACTAATAAATTGGTAGAAATTACTATTTGTTAGTAAAATTTATTAATCCAAAAACAAAAAGTTAGTCACTAGTTCCCATTGGTAATTTTTACTAATTTTATTTTAGAGAGTTAATTAAAAAAAGGGATTTTAATTCCTAAAAAAAGGATTCAGTTTCAAAAATAAGGGGATTTTTCACATTGAGTATAAAAAATTATAATTAAACTACTACGTATGTAAATAATCGCTTGTAAATATTTGAAAAGAAGTTTTCAAAACAAATATTTATTTTCCGATATTTTCTTTCAATTTCATTAATTATCAATTTCATAAAAATATTTTTTTCGTAAAAATAAACGAAATAGAATTTTTTAATAATTATACTCCTTTGCTAATTATATTTTACTTACAATATATAATTATACATATTTCGATGAATATTTACTTACGAAATAAACTCGTCAGGAAAAACATTAACTCTCCTGAAACAGAAAGAAAAGAGAAAACTTTATATTAGAATTATTATCAAAAAATAAAATAAAAACAAATAATATAAATAATATAAATTTTCTATAAATAATTCTATTAAGTTTCTTCCATTAATCAATATTTAAATAGTAATTTACCAAACTATTTGTAACTAATAAAAAAGGGGATTAGGTATAAGATAAAAATTTATCAAAATCACTAAAATTTACTTCAAAAATAGTAAAAGTATAACAAATTGCAAAGCAGAAATGCGCAAAATTTCCAAACAGTTCAGTTATTACTTTGTAAATACTAAAAGTAATTCCACATTTCCTCCAAATGTAGTAAAATAAAATAAAAAAATTAAAAATTGAGAAATAAAATATAAAAATGAAGAAAATAGATTTAAAAAAAATAGATAACAATCTATATGAAATATCGTTAGCAGATATGTATACAGAAAAATAGTTCAATTAAATATAATTACGTTTCATTTACTTTCCAACTATGATTCACAGAATTTTACTGATTCATATATAAATATATTTTTTAAAACAAATAATACATTAAAAATTAAATGACCATGAATTTTATTTCAGAGCAGGTATTTCTCCCAACCGCATATCCGTGTTGATGAAAGGAAGCAAGATCAAAAAGTAAAGAATATATATATATAATACAAAGAAAAAAAATCCGTTTAGTCATAAAAGCGAAAAAGAAAGTTTTGTCAATAAGATTTTATAACTCCAAAGAAGAAATAATGCGAGAAGAAGAAAAATTTTTATTATAAATTCTATAAACATGTCTATAAACAACACACTGAATATGTTTATGATATAAAGTCTCAAATTTTCCGAAAATTCATTATTATTTCGCAAAAATTGCCAACCCTTTGAGATTTTCAAGAATTTTAAGAATTTTAAGATTTTCAGGAATTTTAAAATTTTCAAGAATTTCAAGATTTTCAAGAATTCGAAAGATTTGCGAGAAAATAAATTTTTTATGAGACTTTATATCTTCTACTTCCGTTCTGGTGGTTCTCGTTCTTTTTTTTTTAATTACACACACTCTTGGGTGTTAAAATGCAACGGATTTTCACTTAATTTTTTTTTTTATATGCATACAAGTGCAGTGAGACTAATTTCGTGGAACGAATGTTTGTTTCAATTGGCCGAAGACTGCGGAGCTCTTCTCTTCCTTCATTCGCTTCCTTTATAATCCATCCATTCGAGTTGGTAAACTCAATAAATAAACGATGTTCATTTACATTGAGAAAGTCAAGTGTTATTCTCAGCATGCGCTCATTGAAGGGAAAAGCTTCGAGTGAGAAATGCGCATATGCCTATACAAGTGAGAAGTAATTTGCATCAAAAGATAAATATGCCGCCTTTTTTTCCCCCCACCGCGTAATTTATATATTTTCCCTATTCTCGTAAATTTTCATTTCTAACCACATATATTAATCCTTTTGTTCAATTATTCGGGGAATTCATCTTTTTAAGGATGCAAAATGATAAAAAGTTGTTTCCACTTTTAAGTAAAATCAGGGTTCCTACAGAAAATCCGAACTTAAAATTCCATACATTTTCCATGATTTCCAGGTCAAATTTTTAGGAAATTCCAGTGGAATTTTAAATTTAATTTCCACGTCGTATAATATATATTATATCTTAAAATTTCTAATTTAATTTCTATTGAAGAGAAAAAATGAAAAAGAGGAAAAATTTAGACCCTTAAAAAATTCCAGGCCTTTTCCATGACTTCCCTGATTTCCAGAAGCCTTTTAAAAATCCCATACGATTTTCATGATTATCAAAAACTCAAAAAACCGAATTTCTTAAAATTCAACATTTTTTCTTCTTTTTTATGACATTTAACTTCAATATTTTTGGGCTCTTCAAAAACACTTTACCTAATTAATAGTCTCCACCCTTTGGTAAAGAATCTAAAATTATCAAAAATTTGAAAAACCGAATTTCTTAAAATTCAACATTTTTTCTTCTTTTTTATGGCATTTAGCTTTATTATTTTTGTGCTCTTGGAAAATACTTTACTTATTTAATAGTTTCGACTCTTTGGTGCAAAATCTAAAATTGTCGAAAATTACCAAAAATTCAAAAATCCGAATTTCATAAAATTAAACATTTTTTCCTCCCTTTTATGGGATTTAGCTTCATTATTTTTGGGCTCTTAAAAAACACTTTACTTAATTAATAGTCTCCACCCTTTGGTAAAAAATCTAAAATTATTAAAAATTATCAAAAATTCGAAAAACCGATTTTTTTAAAATTCACCAAAAAATAGAAAAGAAAAATTTTAGTTTCCACTTGAAGTAAATATAAATAATATTTTTAACTGTTACCAACTCCAATTAGATTTGGTAACAGTTTAACATTTTTTATCAGCTAAGGATTTTTTTCGGTGTAAAATTAATAAAAAAAATTAAAAATTAAAAACATATAATAAGGAAATAATAAAAAGTATAAAAAACTATTACCAACTCCAATTGGAGTTGATAACAGTTTAACAGTTTTTAACAACTAAAGATTTTTTTCCGTGTAAAATTAATAAAAAAAGAATTAAATATTAAAAAAATATAATAATAAGGAAATAATAATAATAAAAAGTATAAAAGACTGTTACCATCTCCAATTGGAGTTTGTAACAATTCGACAGTTTTTTAAAAGTGAATTTCCGTAGAACGGTTTCCGTAGAATCGTTCACGTGGGAAGTTGTTTATTTAATTTAGAGTTGTTATAAAAATTTTATTTTCTATTTCCCTGATTTTCCCCTTTCACTAATTTCTAAACCACTCATTCAACACTTCAATAGTTTTGTTAAATAAATATTTATTATTTGTTTTTTCGCGGAAAATAAAATTTAAGAAAAATTTAAATTTTCTGAAATTTAATAATTGATAAAAATTACAACTATAGTTCTTCCAAAATTTAATTATTTTCTACAGTTTTTAACTAAACTTCATCTCTAAATCAAATTATTTTTAAAAATATTCCAAAACTTCTTCAAGAATTAAATTATTTAAATACAAAATTACAAACATTCAATATTTCTATAATAAATGTAACTGTAACTGACCACGTTTTTTTAAAAATTATTTATAGATATAATATTATTAAAAAATTATAATGGAAAAATTCTGAAAATTAATTTTTTAAAAAATATTTTTACTTAATTTTTGAAAGATAACAGTTTAATTATATATGCAATTGAATAATTCCCAAATAATTGAAATTTGAAAAAATGTTTTTAAAATAAATGAAATTTATCAAAATCTTTAAAAAATAATTGAATTTTTAAAAAATATAAAAAAATAATAAAAATTTTTGAAGAATTTTAAATATAAATTTAAAAATATTAAAAATAATTAAATTATTTTAAATAATCTCAATGAAAAAATTTTAAGAATCACTTTTTTCAAAAACACTTTAGTATAATTTATAAAAACTAATTTTCATTATTTTTATTTACAAAGTTTATACTTGAAAAATTTTTATTAACATTTTTGAGAATTCAATTATTTTCAAAATTTGCAATTAAAATTCTTTCAAAGTTGATTTTCAGAAATTATTATAAAATACTTTTAAAAAATCAATTATTTCCAATTGAATTCCACAAAATTTCAATTATTCAAAAATAATTTAATAATAGGTATATTTTAAAAATTTAATTATCTTAAAAAAGTTACATTCAAAAATAATTTTTGAAAGATAATAGTTATTTAATTATATAGAATTGGAAAAAAACTCATTTGAAAATAATTGGAAATTTGGTAAACTCTTTTAAAAATAATTAAAAACTGGTGAAATCTTTTAAAAATTATTGAAAATTGATAAAATCTTTTAAAAATAATTGAAATTTGATAAACTCCTTTAAAAATAACTGAAATTTGGTAAACTCTTTTAAAAATAATTGAAAATTGGTGAAATCTTCCAAAAATAAATTAAAATTTAGTAGCCTTTTTTTAAAAATAATGAAAAATTGATAAAATCTTTCAAAAATAATTGAAATTTGTTTAAATCTTTTTAAAATAATTAAAAATTGGTAAAGTCTGTCAAAAAATAATTGATTTTTTGAAAAATATAAAAAAATAATCCAATTTTTTTAAAGAATTTTAATTATAAATATAAAAATGATTTTTATAAAATTTTAAGTCTGGAAAAGTAAATTTTTTAAAATTTTACTTTACTTTGTTGTTCGAAGATAATTGAATCTTAATAAATTATAATAAAATAATTCTAAGAATCAGTTTTTTAAAAATATTGTAATTTATTCTAAATAAATAAATAAATAAATGTAATTTTTCGAAAATAAATGAATTTCTCAAAGGAATTTTAGTATAATTAAAAAAAACTAATTCATTTTCTGAAGTATTTTAATTAAATATTTTGAACATGATTATTTTCTCCAGAATTTAAAAAATAAATCTAAAAAATTTCATTAATTTTCAATTATAAATATACACTTAACGATCATTCATATTAAAGTTTTTGAGAATTTAATTATTTTCAAAATTTGCATTTACAATTCTTCCAAAGTTGATTTTAAAAAATTGTAACAAAATATCCGAAAAATCAATTATTTTTCATGAAATTTCACTAAATTTCAATTATTCAAAATCTCTTTAATTGCATATTTAAAAAATTTCATTAAAAAAATACTTTAAAAATAATTTTTGACACATTTGTTTATAGTTATTTTTTACTACTATATAAAAATCGAAATAAGTTGCATTTTATAAATTGTACTAAAAAAAGGTGGTATTTTGTTTTGCAATATTTGGAAGAAAAGTCGAAAAAGTCGCAATTTTAGAAAATAAGTCGAAAAAAGTTTAAAAAATTATTAAAACCTGAGTCCTATTTACAGAAACAAAAAACTTACTTGAATGCAATTTTTCCCAACTGAATATTTTTATTCGAATTAACCAAACACGTACAAGTGTTTGGTTAATTCGAATAAAAATATTCAGTTGAAAAGAATTTTTGAAAAATAACTC